GCCTACATCGAAAGGTGGAGGGAACTATGCCTGAATTTCAAAGAAAAATATCTCAAAGTTCTGCAATTGAGATGTGAATCCAAGGCATGCACTTTGAACTCTCCTATATCCTACAAGGGATTAAGCCAAAGTTCTTTGAGGAGTTATCCAGTCGTGCTCATGATATGGAATTGAGCATCGAATCCAGCGGAGGGCTCAACATATTAAACTTGCCTAGCTCCTCCAATGCACCTGGAAAACAAGAAGTTATAAAGTGGAACAAACCTTTTCCAAAGCAGGAAAAGAAAGAAGTGATGAATGTGAAGGGTACTCCTATGACAGTCTTCACTAAGGCAATTGAAAGGCCTAGGTCAAGATCATTTTCTGGCCCGTCAACGGGTGGTAGAAGGCCGACAATTGAAGAAAGGCAGGAGAAGACTTATCCTTTCATGGATTCCGATGTATCTCCCATGTTTGATGAGCTACTCAAACTTAGGCTCATTGAGTTGCCTGAAATGAAATGTCCCGATGAAGCTACAAGAGTGGATGACCCAAACTACTGCAAGTACCACCGCCTTCTCGGTCACCCGATTGAGAAATGCTTTATCTTCAAAGATAGAGTTATGGCACTGGCCAGGGATGGAAAAATTGAGCTTGCTGATGCTAACGCGTGCTCAAATCAAATTTTGATTACACCTGGACGGTTCGCTCCTCTGTGTACTGAAAAGGAAGATGGGAAACAATGGAAACGTCCACTCCCCTTCATTGTTAAGCATGTTGCGGGTAAAAGTTCAGAACCACGGCAAAATGATAACACGTCTGGAGGAAAATGGGTGATTATCACTCATCGAAAAAAAAAGCTGAGCCTGGGAGACATCTTAAGCACACATCGAAAAGTTGGGTTGAGAAAACCTCAACAGGTGGCCATGCCCGCAGACCAAAGACGAAAGGGCATGTCAAGCAACCACGAGCACCATTTCCTTTGGCTCAATATATGCCAAAAGGATTTGATCTTCAAGGGGCAGGCACTTCTAGCTCCTGCCTAAATACAAACGACAAGCCAAAAATGGAGGTGAATGTTCATCTCCTAAACACATCGAGGATGAGGAAGTGTTAATGCATAAGGCTACTTCCTACTCCACGGAAATCACCTTCAAGGATGAAGACTTGTTACTTGGAGGCACGCCACACAATCGCTCATTATTTGTTGAAGGCTACACCCGTGGGCAAAAGCTCAAAAGAATTATGGTTGATCAAGGCTCAGCTGTCAACATCCTATCCCTCCGAGCTGTGAAGGACCTTGGTATATCTACATATGAGCTTGCCCCAAAGTCGTCTAATGATACAAGGCTTCAACCAGGGAGGGCAAAGAGCAATCGGCGTCATCAGACTTGACTTAAGAATTGGAAACCTAAGTTCAGGTGTCCCCTGCCATGTCATAGATCCAAGGACGTCTTATAATTTGTTACTTGGAAGGCCGTGGATACATGAAAATGGGGTGGTACCCTCGTCTTGGCATCAATGCCTCATGTTTGAAAGGAACGACGTAGTTGAAAAGGTTGTCGCCGATGAAAGCCCTTTCACAGAGGCTGAGTCTTACTTTGCAGACGCAAAGTTCTACATTAAAAGGCAAGTTATTGTTGAAGATGTTGAGGAAAGCAATGACGATCCACCTTCCCAGTCAAAGCCAAAGGGAAAACAAGTTGTAGAGGGAGATCAACACAACACGAAACTCATCTTAACGCTTGCAAAGATTGATACACTCAAAGCACATGCAGCAAAATCATCCGAAGAGAAATGTGGTGATAAAGTGGGCCAAATATTCCCCGCCAAACGTACCGAGGGTTTCGACCCTAACGCTTATAAGCTTCTGGCCAAGGTTGGCTATAACCCTAACGAGCCATAAAAGTTGGGAAAACTTATCCCAGAAGCCGGTGGTAAAGGCAAGGCAACTCACCAAGAACCTCAAACGCGCAAAGGGTTGGGCTATGTTCCCCCTAAACCAGTGTGAATTCTTATAAACAGGGCTGCAAGTAATTGTATCTCCGCGGAGGGAAGCGAGTATGACCCAAAGCTCACTCCTACCAATGATAATGGGCAAGACAAAAAGAAGTCAGTCTTCGACCGAATCGGTAAGGCGGACTCTCGACGCTCAGTCTTTGATAGACTGGGGTCAAGTCCTAAAGCCCTGAACAGAAAGTCAATGCATGGTCGACTTGGGGCTGTCTAAGTTATTAAAGACAGTGCCAATGTTCCTGCTGAAGTGGAACCTCCCAAAAGGCTCAGAAGCATGATTCCTTCTCGTATGAGACGAGAAACATATATTCACGTTTCATGTGGTGAAGTGTTGAAAGTCCAACCGAAGACCATTGTACACACTGGTGTACATAAAGAAGAGAATGAGGAAAGCGTAGGCTCAAGTGATGACGTACCACCAACCACTCAGGGAGAGGTGGCATCGTCGTTCCATATCACTTTGTGTGATGAAACCCCGATTGAGGGGTAAGATGCAGAAGATGCACCCCATGAGTTAGAAGAAGGGGTACGAGCCGCGGTGGATGAATTAAAAGAAGTTGATCTGGGAACTCCTGAAAATCCTCGTCCTATCTTCATTAGCGCACTCCTATCTGATGAAAATGAACAAATCTATGTCACATTGCTGAAAGAATATATTGATGTCTTTGCATGGACATACAAGGAGATGCCAGGGTTAGACCCAAAGGTAGCTGTGCACCGCTTAGCAGTGAAGAAGGGGCGTCGCCCGGTTAAGCAAGCTCAACGACGTTTCCGCCCCGAGCTCATTCCCTCGATTGAAACAAAAGTCAATAAGCTTATTGAAGCTGGCTTCATTCGTCAAGTTAAATATCCAACCTGGATATCGAGTATTGTGCCTGTGCGCAAGAAGAACGGCCAGATCCGCGTCTGCGTAGATTTTCGGGACCTCAATGTGGCATGCCCGAAAGATGACTTCCCGCTTCCTATCATGGAGTTAGTGATAGATGTCGTGACTGGGCATGAGATCCTGTCATTCATGGATGGATCCTTCGGTTACAACCAAATCCGCATGGCGCTGGAAGATGAAGACTTAATTGCATTCCGAACGCCGAAAGGCATCTACTGTTACAAAGTAATGCCCTTTGGTTTGAAAAATGCAGGTGCTACATACCAACGGGCTATGCAAACAATATTTGATGATATGCTGCACAAAATGGTCGAATGCTATGTAGACGACCTGGTTGTGAAGTCGAAATTGCGCACAAATCACTTGGTGCATTTAAGGCAAGTCTTCGACCGCCTACGAAAGTTTCAACTGAAAATGAACCCCCTGAAATGTGCTTTTGGGGTTGCTGCTGGAAAGTTTCTCAGGTTTACTGTTCGACACAGGGGCATCGAGAGCGAGCAAACAAAAATCGATGCCATAATGAAGATGCCTGAGCCGAGAAACCTTCATGAGCTTAAAAGCTTACAAGGGAAGTTGGCTTACATCCGAAGGTTCATATCAAACCTAGCGGGAAGATGTCAACCTTTTAGTCGATTGATGAAAAAGGGCATCCCATTCATATGGGAAGAGGCATGCAAGGACGCATTTGAGAGTATCAAGTCATACTTGATGAAGCTGCCTGTGCTAACCGCTCCTGTTCACGGTCGCTCACTAATCCTCTATATCTCCGCCCAAGATAGTTCTGTGGACGCCTTCCTTGCTCAGGAAAACAACAAGGGGAAGGAGAATGCCCTCTACTATCTTAGTAGAATGATGACCCCGAACGAGTTAAAGTACTCCCCAATTGAAAAGATATCTTTGGCACTCGTGTTCGCCATAAAAAAAACTTAAGAACTACTTTGAGGCTCATACCATCCGGCTTGTTTCCAAAGCGAACCCGGTGAAATATGTTATGGCGAAGGTCGTTCTTTCTGACCGCCTCGGAAGGTGGTACTTATTGTTTCAACAATTTGAAATTATATATGTGCCGCAAAAGTCTGTCAAGGGGCAAGCCTTGGCCTATTTCCTAGCAGACCACCCAATACCTGCTGAATGGGAGTTGTCTGACGATTTGCCTGATGAAGATGTGCTTGTCATTGAAGTCCTACCCCCATGGAAGATGTACTTTGATGGAGTTTCGCATAGAGAAGGGGCAGGTGTTGGAGTCGTCTTCGTCACTCCAGAAGGCGAGGTGTTGCCATATTCATTCACCTTGACCGAACAATGTTCAAACAACGTTGCTGAGTACCAAGCACTGATACTTGGGCTCGAGATAGCGGCTGACATGAAACAACTAAGAATTAACATTTATGGGGATTCAAAGTTGGTCATAAACCAAGTGTTGGGTCTATATGAAGTGAAAAAAGCGGAGTTAGTCCCATATAACAACTATGCAAAGATACTCATGCAATGGTTAGGGGACGTCACAATTGAACATGTACCGAGGAAAGAAAACAAGCAAGCTGACGCCTTAGCCGCATTGGCTTCAACTATTGCTCATCTTGCAGCCCGAATACAAGTATGTCAAAGGTGGGTGGTTCCACCAATCTTTAATGAAGACGGCTCAGTTGATGAAACCGTTGAACTCCCTACTGCCTCAATGTATGATATAGGCAAGGACGACTGGAGGCAACCACTGGTTGACTACCTCACTGATGGAAAGTTACCCGAGGATCCACGTAAGAGGGTGGATATAAAGCGTCGAGCTCCTCGCTTCATCTACTATAAAGAGACGTTGTATCGTCGTTCATTTGAGGGAGTCTTTCTCCGATGTTTAGTGGAAGAGGAAGCCTTACAAGCTATGCAAGAAGCTCATTCTGGGGTTTGCAGTGCACATCAATCCGGTCCCAAGTTGCACTTCTACATTAAGCGAATGGGATATTATTGGCCTACAATGGTAAAGGATTGCATAGACTATGCTTGAAGGTGTCAAGCTTGTCAATATCATGCAAACTTTATCCATCAACCACCAGAACCTCTACACCCAACAGTTGCATCTTGGCCATTCGATGCTTGGGGACTTGATGTGGTTGGCCCAATTATGCCTAAGTCATCTGCAGGGCATGCCTACATACTAGCTGCCACTGATTACTTTTCAAAGTGGGCGGAAGCCGTGGCATTGAAGGAGAAGAAGAAAGAAAATGTTGCAGACTTTCTCTGTGTCCACATCGTCTATCGATTTGGTATCCCGCGATATATCTTAACAGACAACGGGAAACCCTTTGATAACAAGTTGATGGACAAGATCTGCAACCTTTTTGACTTTAAGCAGCGAAACTCATCAGCTTATTATGCAGCTGCAAATGGACTTGCTGAAGCTTTTAACAAGACCCTATGCAATTTGTTGAAGAAAGTGGTCTCCAAATTGAAAAGGATTGGCATGACAGAATGGAAGAAGCTTTGTGGGCGTATAGAACCACATACCGCACACCTACTCAAATCACTCCATACTCTTTGGTGTATGGTGTAGAAGCGGTCTTGCCTCTAGAGCGCCAAATACCTTCCTTAAGGTTGGCTATACAAGAGGGGCTTACTGATGAAGAAAATGCTAAGTTACGCTTGGCTGAGTTGGAAGCCTTGGATGAAAAACGTCTGCAATCGCAACAAAGCTTGAAGTGCTATCAAGCTCGCATGTCTAGAGCTTTTAACAAAAGGGTAAGGACCCATTCCTTTCAAATTGGGGACAAAGTCCTAGCTGTTCGCAGGCCCATCATCGTCATGAGAAAAACCGGTCACAAGTTCACTTCAAGGTGGGATGGTCCCTACGTGATTCAAGAAGTTTACACCGGTGGGGCTTACAAGCTGATTAGTGAAGATGGTTTGAAGATCGGTCCAATCAATGGAAGGTTCCTGTGAACAAAGAAAATTGAATATATATTTTAAAATTCAAAATTCTAGTTTACATTGAGTATCAATGCGTTGTGGGTACAAGTCTCTGGATTTCCTCTGATTCTTCAATTTATGCTTTGAACACTCCACCATTGAAGGGCCTCCGGGTTTCAAGTGGCTTGATCTTCAAAGAAGGGGTTGTATATATAGCTTGTTTTTCTTGAAGGGCCTCCGGGTTCAAATGGCTTGATCTTCAATAGAGCTAGATTTCCTCTGATTCTTCAATTGATGCCTTGAACACTCCACCATTGAAGGGCCTCTGGGTTGCAAGTGGCTTGATCTTCAAAGAAGGGCTTGTATATATAGCTTGTTCTTCTTGAAAGGCCTCCGGGTTCAAATGGCTTGATCTTCAATGGAGGTTTGGATCAATAGGCATAGGCATGACCATTATGGAGGAGGGGTTTTTTGTAACACCCCGTGTTACGGATCCTAAAACCAACTGATTAATTAATTAATTAACTAATAACCCAGGAGAAAGAATAAACTGTAATGGTTAATTAGGGAAAAAGGCCACCATAGCCCACAGGCCCAATTATATAAACCCAACCCCTAAACCCAATAGGAATAAACTCTAAATAAACCCTTGGATCTATAAATAGGGAACTCAGGGAGCACCTAGAACCCCCCTCCCACACGCCTAAACGCCCCATCGCCCCAGGAGAGCTCCAAGAATTCCCTTAGAAGAAATCAAGAAAGCAAGAAAGCTTAAAGAAAGATCCTTCATAGCCAAGGAATTAATTAAGGCTAAGAGGTAACCCATGTCTCAACAAAACCTATTTTCATAGCTATGATTTCCCCTTAGGGTTTCCCCCATATTGTTGTAAATGGCGATTGATGATGATTATTATTGATGTCGATATAATGATTCCCTGAGGAATCTTGAAAATCTTGATATTGGGAGTTTCTTGATAATTATGATGTTCTTGATGATTAATTGGGGTTTTGATGATTATGTGTTGTTCTTGATGATTATGATGTTTTTGATGATTAATTGGTATCCTTGATGACTATGTGTTGTTCCTACCGAATCTTGCAATAAGAAGACGAATTGTATTCTTGTTGATATAAAAGTGATTAGAACCCTAGGTTGTATCGTATGATATTATTCTTGGATTATCGGGTGGGGAAATCGCATGTTTGGGTGTTGATTATGATTAGAAAAGCATGATAGGTTATGTGTCGTTCGTTTATCGTATTTGATCCGTTAATTGTCTATGTGTTGTCGTTAATTACGTTGAAAAGTGTCTAAGCATGGTTTCGGGTTCCACATCGGTTCCCGGGGCGAAAAGTGATGAAAAGAGTCAGTGGGGGGGTAGGTGGGGGTAGGGGACCCGCCACCTACCCGCGGCGTTCACGGGCAGCTCCGGCAGCGGGCAGCCGGCGGGCGGGCAGCTGCCCGCCGGGCACCCGCTGCCCGGAACAGCGTTACCGGCGGGCAGCCGGCGGGTGGACCCCCCACCCACCGGCTACCCGCTGGAATTTTCCCCCCCTCGGGACCCCGGCTTCCCCGTTTGATGTTTCCCCGATCCCTGTGGCGTCCCAACGGACCCCGTTTGTCGTGCCTATGTCTAGTTTGATATTTCGGGTACCATCCGTAGGTTTGTGAGTCTATTATATTGCATGCTAGTTGACTTGGTATCCCGTTGACCTAGGTGGAAGAAGTATGAACCCCTTAGGACTATTCTTAGTACGTGATGGATCACGCATAAGGTTGTTATACGCTTTATCCCCCTTCCCAATGTGTAATGTGGGTTGCATGTGCTTGCTATGTGTTATGTGTGCGTGTTACCCCAATTCGGTTGCGATCGGATTGGTTATCCTGAGCTGCGGTTCAGAAGCCGGCTATGGTCAGATGGGAATTCCTGGCTGTAGTCGGATGACGGTATCCTGGGCTGCGGTCCAGAAGCTGGTTGTAGTCAGATGGGAATTCCTGGCTGCAATCAGGTGACATCTTTCCTGAGCTGCGGTTCAGAGGCTGGCTGTAGTCAGATGGGAATTCCTGGCTACAGTCAGATAACACACTCTCTTGGGCTGCGGTCCACTGTTCGGTTGCGATCAAACATTATGATGAGCTGCGGTTCATCGGTCGGTTGCGATCGGCCTCCCCGTGTTGCGATACGGGGCATGGTGCTGTGGGGCCGTGTCAGAGCTATATGCGCTGACCCGCATGTATGGGCATGCGAGTGGTCCTGTGGCGCCAACAACGTGCGTTATGTGTGGTGATATGGACGAGTGGTGATTATGAGTGTCTTGGGGGATGTGACTATGGGATTTATATTGGGGATTGTTCATGTTGGGTTATGATCATTGTTTATGCTCTGCCTTACCTGCCTTATCTGTTGTGAACTGCATATGCTCATTATAACTGTTGCTTGTGTCTGACCTTATCTGTCGAGTCATTCCCGGTTTTAAAGCTAGAGTTCGTAGGATATATCTTCATGCTCAAAATGGTTTTCGTATATCTATATATATCTCTATATGTATTGTATTTCAACGCGTTGGAGTGGGTTACCAGCATCTCTCGCTGAACAGATATATTTGGCTTTCAGGCATAGAGGATTAGAGCACTGGAGCGCGCTAGAACTGGAGCGTAGAAGTAGTATAGTTTCCCTTTCGGCCTGCGTGCCATATTATGCATTTATATTTCAGAGGATAGTAGTTAGACAGCCTGTGCACATGGGTTCTCTAGCCCAGGTGTGGCATAGCACCCCGTACACTTATGTTACGTTTTGGGATTTAATGAGATGTTACCTTTATTATTATGTTTTAAATGTCTTGAAAATCAGGGGTGTTACAGTTGGTATCAGAGCCTAAGTTTGACCCTAAGAAAAGACTTTTAAGACCGGACTTTAGGATATTAAGCTTGAACTCTAGGTATTTAGGAACATAGGACTCAGGAATCTTAGGACGCGCGGTGAGATTGTGAAACCTACACATAACCTCCCCTCACTTTATCCCTCTCTAATATTAGGAACCCCTTCCCCCACTTATTATATCAAGATTAAAACACAAAATAACACCGACCTTTAATCGCCAGGAATGGCACCTAAGAAGAAACAGTCAGGAACACCGGGACACCCCTCTCAAGAAATCTTGACTCAGGCCCTACAACGCCTGACCCAAATTGCCCAGGCACTAAGTACTATCGTACCCCAACCTCTGCCGACAGACGAGAACTTGGAAATCCACCACCAAGTCTCGGCACATCGACCACCCACCCTCTCGGGAGACGAAGACCCCACAACCCTCGAGGAATGGATTGAGACATTCGACAAGGTGTTCAGGACGACCCAATGCCCCGAACGCCACCGGGTCAGGATAGCCTCCTTCTATTTCAAGCACGAGGCCGACGACTGGTGGGCCCGCAAGGGGCCTAAGTACGAGCAAGACCCCAAATTCAACTGGGAGGACTTAAAGACGCGGTTACGAGAACAGTTCTACCCCAACCACCTGAAGGCCGCCATGTGCGAGGAATTCCTCAATCTAAGACAGGGGGCGGCCCTGGTCTCAGAATACTACCGACGATTCTGCCGACTGGCTCGCCTCGCCCCCGAGATAGTACCCATCGAAGGGATCAAAGTCAGGAAGTTCCTAACGGGCCTTAAGCCCGAACATCAGAGGTCCTTGGCCGCCCAAGAACCGAAGACCCTCGGAGAGGCCTATGCCAAGGCATGTCAGCTACAACAGGTAGCGGACCCGCCTCCAGGGATGCAACTGGGGTATAAAAGGAAACCCGAAGAAAGTTGTCCTATTCTCGCCAAGGAAGCTAAGAACCCCAAAACCGCCCCACTTGACCAAACCATCACGCCGACTACCCGGGGAAAAATCCTCACCCTAAGCAAGGCCAGGATCGGAGATAGCAACGTAGTCTCCGGAACCTTCCTAGTGCACGCCACCCCAGCTGTCATATTATTCGACTCAGGGGCTACCAACTCATTCATAGCAACCGAGTTCGCCGCCCAGCTCGGTCTTAACGCCACCACCAAGGTACGACTCCAAGTCAAGGTGGCCTCAGGCGAGGTCATAAAATGTGATCGCATGTACGAGCATGTAATGATCACCATTCAGGGAGTGGAATTTCCCAGCGATCTGATCCAGTTTCAATTGGATGGGATGCAAGTAATTTTGGGCATGGATTGGCTAGGGAAGTTCCAAGCGCAAATCCTGTGCGGAGAGCAGAAAGTGGTCCTACGAGGGCCAAACGGTAAGAGGGTGTCGTACCGCAGTGCCCGCCAGGATCCAGGGATCAAGCTGATAAACATGATGAAAATTAAGAAGTATCTGGGCCAAGGAAACGAGGTCTTCTTATGCTCAGTCGAAGACCTCAACGCCAAAACGCCCGAACCACAAGCCATCCCAGTGGTGAACGAGTTCACCGACGTCTTCCCAGACAAGATTCCCGGGGCACCCCCGACCAGAGAGGTCGAGTTCACCATAGACCTCATGCCGGGCGCCGCCCCGATCTCTAAACCACCCTACCGGCTAGCACCAAAGGAAATGAAGGAACTGAAAACACAACTCCAAGAACTGCTAGACAAGGGTTACATCCGACCCAGCACCTCTCCATGGGGAGCACTGGTACTATTCGTTAAGAAAAAGGATGGGAGCATGCGCCTGTGCATCGACTACCGGGAACTCAACCAAGTTACTATAAAGAACATGTACCCCCTTCCCCGAATAGATGACTTATTTGACCAACTCAAAGGGGCAGGGGTATTCTCGAAGATCGACCTAAGATCCGGGTATCACCAGATCCAAGTGGCCAAACCGGACATCCAGAAAACGGCCTTCCGGACACGCTACGGCCACTACGAGTTTACCGTAATGCCTTTTGGCCACACTAACGCGCCTGCCATATTCATGGACCTCATGAATCGAGTATTCCGACCCCACCTGGATGACTTCGTCATCGTGTTCATTGACGACATCCTAGTCTACTCCCGAAATAAAGAAGAACATGAGAAGCA